ACGTTTCGCTTCTCATCCCAGAAGCTTCTTCAGCTCTGATTGGATGGTGGGGAATGGAAGGATTTATACTCCTTGCAGACAGCTGGTCATTTGCCTTCTTTTAGAGAGTCGTTGAGGCCACTTGGAGGTTTATCTGTGTCCTCAGGATCACCTGAATGGTGCAAATGGGTGTGGAGCCTTCTTGGAACTGCTGAAAGGATTTGTGTTGTAGATTGAAGATAGATGATGTCGTATCCCTTCCCTGCTATTGAGAAGAGACTCTTTAAAAGACAAAAAGCCCCTTTTTTGAAGAAAGCAAAGTCCACATTTTGAACAGAGAGGACCACTGATTTGAAAGAGGGATCAAAGAGGGGGAGGGATACGACCTCATCTATCTCCAGTCTACAACACAAATCCTTACAGCAGTCCCAAGAAGACTCCATACCTATTTGCACCACTCAGGTGACCTTGAGGACACAGGTAAACGTCCAAGTGGCCTCAACGACTCTCTAAAAGAAGGCAAATGACCAGCTGTCTGCAAGGAGTATAAATCCTTCCCTTCACCACTATCCGGTCAGAGCTGAAGAAGCTTCTTGGATGAGAAGCGAAACATCTTCAAAGAAGAACAAGAAAGTCCAATTTCCTCTTGAAAAAGTAACTTTGGGACAACCAGGAGCTGGATGACTAAGAATCTCCACAGACATTGATGTTCCAGATGTTTTGGGATTGAACCCAAGGCAGCTATGACTATCAATACTGTCTTCTTGATCCTTCTCCAAGACATCCCCAGCTTGATAGTAATCCAGACTGGTGTTTATCAAATCATGGACTGTTCAAGCTTCAGTGGAATCTCCTGCACTCCGACCTGATTAAAAAAGCAAATTTCGTTCGCACAGAAAGCATTTATTTGTAAAATGTATGAAGCATCATCACCCTCCAGGGGCTGCCGATGATGTTGAGAACCCAAAATTACCATATATAAATAATCATAAGCAATAATAAATGGTAATCATATGATTTTTCTCCCGCTGCTTTAATCACCAAAGAATCTCTTGAGATTCTTGTTCATTCATATTCTACCCGTTTTCCTTCGGGGAGAACATTCAAATGAGCTCCCAAATCTTAGTAAAAACTGTGAAAGAAGCTTTGTAGTTTTACACTACTAATCCTATGTTTCCTAAGAAAAAGCAAATGTTTCTGCTTTTGGACGCTTCCCTTTCAACATTCTAGGTGGTGGTGCAAGGTATCCCAGAGGTGTCTCGTGCTGTCATTCATATTGATGAACAGAGTGGGAAGGAAAAGTACAAATTGTTGGTGGAAGGTGACAACTTGAGAGCTGTCATGGCCACCCATGGAGTCAAAGGAACCAGAACAACCTCGAACAACACTTATGAGGTAACCAACGAGCGTGAACTGACTTAAGTACTAACCCAGGGGTCTTCAAACTTGGCCCTTTTATGACTTGTGGACTTCAACTCCCAGAATTCATCAGCCAGGCACATGGATTCGTGTGTAGGTGGGTGGATGGATAGACAGACAGACAGACAAGATGGGTAGACAGAAAGACAGACAGATGATAGATAGATAGATAGATAGATAGATAGATAGATAGATAGATAGATAGATAGATAGATAGATAGATAGATAGATAGATAGATAGATAGATAGATAGATAGATAGATAGATAGATAGATAGATAGATAGATAGATGGGTAAATAGATAGACAGACAGACAGACAGACAGACAGATGACAGGGATGATAGATATTTTTTACGCATTCCTATGGCCTGTCTATCTATCAGAGATGCCGTAGAAATCCTTAAAAAGGTGAATATAATTGGGTTGGAGAACAGAGAAAATTGAATAAGGATTTTTCCATTTCATGAAGGCAACATAAATTAATCTTCCAGGTTGAGAAAACCCTGGGCATTGAGGCTGCACGAACGACTATTATCAGTGAAATCCAATACACGATGGTCAACCACGGAATGAGTATTGATCGGAGGCATGTCATGTTGTTGTCGGACCTAATGACCTACAAGGTTTGGAATTTCCCTCCCCCCCCCCCCGTTATTGTATAAAATTGCTCATTCTTTCACCTCTGAAAAAAAATAAAAATAAAGAAAATGCTAAGAAAAGTTTAGCAATAATACCCGCATGGAATTGGGGCAAGGGCCCTTCTCCTTTAGATATAGGAAAATGCCTTCCATTGAGGACCTGTACACTACACAAACCAGAAAGAGGGCTGATAAGATAACCACAGACCCCTCACATCCTGGACACGAATCTGTTTCAACTCCTGCCTTCAGGACGCCGCTACAGGGCATTGCACACCCAAACAATTAAGACACAAAGGTAGTTTTTTTTCTTCTCCCGTGCCATCATTCTGCTGAACACCTAATTCACACAGCCCTGTCTTAGGCCTAAAGGTATTTTTACCCACATGGTTAGGGCTGTATTGCTATTATCCTTCTCATCTTTCCTACTACCTTCCCCTGTGATTTATCACTTGTTGTTTTTAATTTTATGATTAATGATTGTAACTATGATCTATGATCTGTCACTTTGTAGTTTGCATGTACACTGAGAGCTTCTGCACCAGTTCCTTGTGTGTTCAATCGCGCTTGGCCAATAAAGAATTCTGTTCTATTCTGTTCTATTCTATTCTCCATTCTCCATTCTCTATTCCATGTTCTGTTCTGTTCTATTCCATATTCTATTCCATATTCTATTCCATTCCATATTCTATTATATATTTTACTCTATTCCATATTCTATTCTATTCTATTCTATTCTATTCTCTATTCCATATTCTGTTCCTATTCTATTCCATATTCTATTCTTTTCTATTCTATATTTTATTCTATTCCATATTCTATTCTATATTTTATTCTATTCCATGTTCTATTCTATTCCATATTCTATTCCATTCCATTCCATTCTATTCTTTATTATCCTTTTCTATTCTTTTTATATTTATACTCCCATCCCTTGTTCTTTGTTGTTGGGCTGTATTCTGTGTATGCTTTATTCAAGACTTGGATAGCTAATTTCACAGCGAGTCAAGTCCTGCAATGGGGAGGGTGTTTTTTTTTCCCAGAGAGGACAGTTGTATTTATAATCCTTCTTTCAACTGATGAGAAATCAAGTAATCCCCGTTGGTTCTATCTGGTTTTCATCCCAGGTTTTTGTTTTTAAATAGTCTCTGTGTTATCCATCGTAGTACGAAATTTGGCAACTCTATAGTAACGGTAATGGTTTTTGCTCTTCCACTCCCCCCCCCCCTTTTGGGATTAGGGTGAAGTTCTGGGGATTACTAGATTCGGACTAGCAAAAATGAAAGAGAGCGTCTTGATGCTTGCTTCATTCGAAAAGACGGCAGACCACCTCTTTGATGCCGCCTACTTTGGGCAGAAGGATTCCGTGTGCGGTAAGTAGAGTAGGCCAAGAGGTCTCCTAGCCATTCGGTACATCTCTATAAACCAGGTGTGTCCTTTGTGTAAAATCAATTGAGTTCTTAGGGTAGAGTGAAAAAATATGTGTAAGAAGGCCTTTTCCACTCAGTTCCTCCCCCCTATATATTAAGTTCTTTCTCCTGACTTTCAAATGTGGTACAATAAGGTAATGACTATAGAAATTCTCAGCCATCCAAGTCATAGTTATCCCAAAGGTGCTTTTTCATGAGGCAAAAGAAGGGAGGGAGGGAGGGAAAGAAAGAAAGAAAAAGAAAAAGAAAGAGAAAGAAAGAAAGAAAGAAAGAAAGAAAGAAAGAAAGAAAGAAAGAAAGAAAGAAAGAAAGAAAGAAAGAAAAAGACAGGAAGGAAGGAAGGAAGGAAGGAAGGAAAGAAATAGATAGATAGATAGATAGATAGATAGATAGATAGATAGATAGATAGATAGATAGATCAGGAAGGAAGAATGGAAGGAAGGAAAGAAAAGACAGGAAAGGAAGGAAAGAAAGAAAAAAAGAAAAGAAAGAAAGAGAAAGAAAGAAAGAAAGAAAGAAAGAAAGAAAGAAAGAAAGAAAGAAAGAAAGAAAGAAAGAGACAGGAAAAAAAGAAAAGACGTTGTTTCCCATAAGGAACAATGTATTGAGTCACACAAAGCAGCCCATACCGACAAGTTCTAGCTTGTGCGTTGAGTGCTAAACAAACTATGAGTACCGGGACAAAACTTTCACATTAAAATGCGTTGAGTACCCAATACGATGAGTTTCAGACATACAGCTGAGTACTGAATGTGGATTTATTTTATTGATATTATATAATTCAACACAGGTGAAGATCTCTCCCACACTTCTTCCACAGGCTGTCCCAGTCAGGAAATATTAATAGGCTGAAGATAGGCTGTTTAATAAATAAATCGTGCAGGTGGAGAATGAGAAAAGCTGTGGAAGGGTGAAACTTTTTTTCTTCTTCTCTTTTCTTGATGTCCCACAGGCGTTTCCGAATGTATTATTATGGGTATCCCAATGAACATCGGAACGGGACTGTTCAAGCTGCTGCATAAAGCCGACAAGGACGCTGTTCCACCCAGACGGCCTTTAATTTTTGATAACCCCGATTTCCACACCTCCCTCCCATCGTAGCAGCAGTTGGCCAGCACCAGAGAATAAGTTGATTGTGTGTATATATATATATATATATATATATATATATATATATATATATATATATATATATATATATAAATCTATCTTTTTTAACTGAAACGTAAATTGGTGTGTGCTTCTCAAACAGGTTGTGTGTGTGTTTTAACTGAAACGTAAATTGGTGTGTGCTCCTTATATGGTTTATGTTGTAAATGGGTTATAAGCAAATGTCTATTTAAGAGTCAAAGTAAGCAGGGAAACTCAATCCAGAAGCATGTGTGTATGTGTGTATGCCCCACCCAAAAAATGTAAAAAAGAAATCTTAAGTTTCTAATGCTGTGAATAAAGCGACATTTTTTTCCCACAATGAAACGGAGGAGGGAGAGATGCATTTTACTGGATAAACGTTTTATATTCTTTTATGAAGTTATTTATTGTGAACTTATGTCCTAGAAGACTGTACACACACACACACACTATACACCCTTACAGCATCGATGACAAGGTAAAGTAACCTAAAAATTAGTAACCCTGATAATTAGGAAGGTAGAAAAACTTGGGAAAATTATAAGCAGAACAGCGTTCCCCAATTTTGACTACACTGCCCTGCAGATTCCTTCCTTGCTTCTGCCAGCATTCGAATTAATTTAACTTTCTACAAATATATACCACGATTCCACTGCTGCAAATCCTATATACATTTCTCCTAGTACTGCATAAACATTTTAACCAATTCCTATACCTGAAAACAAAAACGTACAATTCTTAATATCTTGGTAGATTCCAAATGTGGGTACGTGTACCAGCCGCTCGCACAAATGGAGGTGTGTGCACTCACACCCACCCACCTGCCACTAGCAGGAAACTATACACACACACACCCTGCTGGGCTGCCAAGCCAGAAGGATTGGGTACCGCTGGATTAAATCATGGGCTGTCAGTAGAAAAATCTCAAAATAAACAAATGGTGAAGGTGAACAACCTTTAGAAGTGGCAGGGACCCAATATATATATTTTTAAATCCCACGAAATCTCTTTTTTTTAAAGAGACTAGAATAATCTAAATGCAATTCTCCATAGTCTTATCTTGGTAATCCTTCTGTTAATCCTTTGAGGTAATCCATATAATTAAAGTAACGGAGATAAGGAAAAGGACCGAGGCTGTGTAAGTTTCCAAAAGCCTTAATTGAGAAGTGTTTCAAATGTTTGTCAAGGCTGCCAGCATCTTCTTTTACATTAGGGTCCTTCAACCTTCTAGATGGACATTATGGACATTCTCATAAAATACTATTATATTCTGTTCTGCTCTATTCAATATTCCATTGTTCTGTTCTATTCTATTTTCTATTCTATTCTATATTCCATTATTCTATTCTATATTCTGTTATTCTGTTCTGTTCTGTATGCCATTATTCTATTCTATTCTGCATTCTGTTCTATTCTTATTTGTATTCTATTCCATTCCATTCTTTAAGTCAACTTTTCCACCTTCTGACTCCAAAGTTGCTCTCATACTAAGAGACAACAATTCCCCACGGCACTTATATCAAACGGAGCGTGCCGGGGCTGACTTTAATTCAGCCGTACACTGAATTCAATTCCTTTAGGACAATCTGTCCTTATGCTTGGAGCAAACTATACTCTGAATTGTGAGCTGGGATATGACAGCCATCACCATGATGACCTTGGACATTTGGGTAGAAACGGCCTCCTGCAGTGAGGAAATAAACTGGGCTTTGTGCTGGCACTTCTGGGTCCGTGGGATACAGTAGATTGACTTATGTGGGGAAAGGGGTGTGTGTGTGTGTTAAATAAGACAAATTGACTAAGATTCACTGGTGGGACCACCAAAAAGTGGTGGCTTGGCCATGCCCCTTTGCAGCCTTGGGGGTGGCCAGTCTAGAGAAAACAAAGACTAGGGGTGACATAATAGCAGCGTTCCAATATTTGAGGGGCTGCCACGAAGAAGAGGGAGGGGGTCAACTTTGTCAATTGTTCAGGAATAAATATGAATTAGGATACAAAACCTCTAGAAAAAGAGGCAACAATTATTTACATAGGCACAAGAGTCTGTCACTGAAAACAGCTACTTTAATAAAACCTGAATACACCCCCAAAAAATGATGTATTGGGATCTGTGGGTGTACAAGTTATTGTTTGATGTCACCGCGCACCAAAAAAAAAAAGCGCTCACAAGCACACCAGCTCTTAGATCCATAGAAGAAGAAGAGTTTTTTTAGATAGAAGGGGTCAAGCTATTCTCCAAAGCGCCTGAAGGCAGGACAAGAAGCAACGGATGGAAACTCATCAAGGAGAGAAGCAACCTGGAACTAAGAAAATTCCTGACAGTGAGGACAATTAACCAGTGGAACAACCTGCCTCCAGAAGTTGTGAATGTTCCAACATTGGAAGTTTTTAAGAAGAAATTGGACAACCATTTGTCTGAAATGGTATAGGGTTTCCTGCCTGAGCAGGGGGTTGGACTAGATGACCTCCAAGATCCCTTCCAGCTCTATTCTGATCGATTGGATAGGAAGAAAGACTTTCTGGGATCTGGTATGTGGACTTGCCTTGTTTATTTTCTTCATTGTCTTTTGATTTTGAGCCTGTGGCAACTCACTCCAATCCCTGGATCAAGCATTAAGGAAAAGACAAGCACAACCGCCAGTAGATTATTTTGAATGTATTAGCAGGACTTTTGGGACTTGGGTTCAAACTTATCTCTCGTCCCCAAGGTGTCGCTCGCATCGCCTTGCCGACAATCTTTGCAAACACCGTCTGTGCAAGATTTGAATGATTTTTCTTGCTTCTCAGATGACTTTCACGCTTAAATCATCTCAGCTTGGTGCCCAAGTCTCACCAGGAGAGGAGCAACGGCTTAATCCTTTCTCTAATTCTGCTTGCATTTATTTGCATAGCTGTTGACCTGAAGTTTTGTGGGTTGTTGTTTTTTTTTACGACGCAAGTAATTTATCAGCAAATGAAATGGCACTTTCCCAGAGAATTCAGAGAGAGGGTGGGGGGGGGGGGGACAAAAAAA